TTTTATAACTTGGATAATTGCACTACATATATAACCTGTTGTTAGTCTTGCATGGTTTTGTTAGGTGCTACAATCTTAGGCATTTTGTGCCATTCATTAACATATGTGTTTTTATAACTTGGATAATTGCAATACATATATAACCTGTTATAGTCGTGCATTGTTTTATTGGGTTCTAGAGGCTTAGGCATTTTGTGCTATACATTAACATATGTGTTTTTATAACTTGGATAATTGCACTACATATATAACCTGTTGTTAGTCTTGCATGGTTTTGTTAGGTGCTACAGTCTTAGGCATTTTGTGCCATACATTAACATATGTGTTTTTATAACTTGGATAACTGCACTACATATATAACCTGTTGTTAGTCTTGCATGGTTTTGTTATGTGCTACAATCTTAGGCATTTTGTGCCATACATTAACATATGTGTTTTTATAACTTGGATAATTGCACTACATATATAACCTGTTGTTAGTCTTGCATGGTTTTGTTAGGTGCTACAATCTTAGGCATTTTGTGCCATTCATTAACATATGTGTTTTTATAACTTGGATAATTGCACTACATATATAACCTGTTGTTAGTCTTGCATGGTTTTGTTAGGTGCTACAATCTTAGGCATTTTGTGCCATACATTAACATATGTGTATTTATAACTTGGATAATTGCACTACATATAACCTGTTGTTAGTCTTGCATGGTTTTGTTAGGTGCTACAATCTTAAGCATTTTGTGCCATACATTAACATATGTGTTTTATAACTTGGATAATTGCACTACATATATAACCTGTTGTTAGTCTTGCATGGTTTTGTTAGGTGCTACAATCTTAGGCATTTTGTGCCATACATTAACATAAATTATGTGTTTTTATAACTTGGATAATTGCACTACATATATAACCTGTTGTTAGTCTTGCATGGTTTTGTTAGGTGCTACAATCTTAGGCATTTTGTGCCATACATTAACATATGTGTTTTTATAACTTGGATAATTGCACTACATATATAACCTGTTGTTAGTCTTGCATGGTTTTGTTAGGTGCTACAATCTTAGGCATTTTGTGCTATACATTAACATATGTGTTTTTATAACTTGGATAATTGCACTACATATATAACCTGTTGTTAGTCTTGCCTTATTGTGTTAGGTGCTAGAGGCTTAGGCATTGTGTGCTATACATTAACATATAAAATGTATATTTTAATATTTGTTTTACAGGGGTCATAATGGAGCCATTTGTTGTCTTGCCACTAAAGGTCATAAGTTATACAGTAGTGGAGCTGATAAGGTCATTAAGGTTTGGGACATGGAAACACTGAGCAAGGGATGGATGCATATGTTCAAAGGCCACACAGAAACCGTAAGTGTTTGCAGACCATATGTGGCAAAGGCAAGGCAAACCAGTCATTCCTTGCAAAAAATCAAGTTTCAATTTTTAATTAATGGTTAACAAGTGAAATGAAATTTATGGAAAAAGAATCATTTAAATCTGAAATTTTGTAACATGAAGTTGCAGGAGTTTAAACATCTGTTTAAAGAACAGTATTTGAGAAATCAGGCTTCAAAGTTTATGATTTCAGCCATTTCTTAGGTCATCACCAAATCCTCACAAATGTAGTTTTAATATCGAAAATGGGGGAAAATGATAACATAGCATGATGTATAGATATATAGAGTTTAGTACTGAAAAATAGATTTCAACAAGTGTGATATATTCCAGCATGTTTCAGCCATTAGACAAGACTTTTTATACCTTGTTTAGCGAATCCCCCCAAACGCAAATATTGTTGATTTGGAATAAAAATAAAATTTTATTTTTGGCCAATTAGCACACCTGCCACCATGAAAAAATAGAAATTTAAAAAAAAAGAAAGTTTTTCTTTATTTTTATTACATCCTCTGCTGCTTGAAATCTCCAAAGATAAGATATTGTTATATAGTATTAAGATAACTTACGAATATAGGCCAAATCAATGAACTTTTACCTCACTACCCCATTACCTCACTAATTCAGTGGGCACCTGTTGAATGTCTCCTTAATTATTATATATGAAGTCTTTGACAGGACAACAGCCAATTCATGACAAAAATCCCAAGTGGTCAACTCCTTACATTTGATTTATAAAATAAGCTCGACAGAGAGACAGATCATTACTAAATATAAGTTAAGTTCTACCCCCCAAAGTTGTTATATTATTTGACCAATAGAAACTCCCCAAAATGATGTAATAGTCAAATGATTAGGATAAGGTGATATCTTTCAACCAATCAGAGAAAGTCTACCACACCCCAAGCTTGTATGAAAAGTAAAGTATTAGTTATCTAGAGAAGACTTCATTTAAAGTAAATCATCTCGCACTACAATATTACATACCGTAGTGAAGATCCAGTCTTTGCATCCGGAACGTACATTGGAATCGGGCACACCAACTTGAGCATTTCATGGCAAACTGCCATATATAACATTACAATATGTATATTTCTTCCTAATTATATATATTTGAAGCATTTAACCATCCCATTTTTCATTCACCAATAAAAATTTTATTTATATTTTCTTCTCCATCTGGATGTTTTTGGCAAAACGATTTACTAAATAAGAAAACTTATATTTTTATTTTTATTCCGTCCTCCTCCGATAATCTTTAAAAAAATATGTACACGAAACAAGGAATAAAAAAGTCTCGACTTATCTCTGAAACAGGATTTGCCAGAAGTGACTGGTTTGGCTTGTCTTTGCCATATATCATGGTCTGCTAAAAAGGGGAATGTAACAGTTTTTTTCCTGTATGTGCTAAACATATCAAGTGCATCACAGTAGCACATGACTCTGACACATTGACAACTCAGGTCATGTGAACAAATGTCTATTGTGTGCAGCATACTCTATTTTTTAAATTTCCCATAGTGTTGCTAGCTAGTTTCCAGAAACCTGATTATAATCTTGGGTGGAGAGACAACATTGATAAAGAGACAATTGCCTAAAGACACAATTATTTTTATATTATTTTTATTTTATTTATTTCCAGGCAAGACAATACAGTACAATACATAAGAGAAACAAATGACAAAAACAAAAAGCCTGAGGATTACCTAAAAGCGAACTTCATATATGTACAATATAAAAAATTAATAAAAATATTACAAAGAGAATTACAATTCCATTAAGGTAAAAATATAATTTAATTAATTTAATATGATTTAATTTTTAAAAAAAATGTGAACAAAGCTGGTATGAAAATCACTTCCATACAGTACAATCATTTAGAAATACTCTATACTTTTGTTTACATAGTTTAATAGTATTGTAGGCCCTCTTGCTTAAGAAATTATTTGCATATAATGATCATGTTGCTTGTAGGTACGGGCTTTGATTGACGGAGGCAAATACTTGTACAGTGCTGGAGCAGACCGCTCCATTCGTTCATGGAGGTACGATGAATCAAACACTTCAGAGTACAAATGTTACAAGGTAGGTTACTATATACAGTTTATATATTTTATAAATGGTTTTTCATTTTATTAGAACCAAAAAGGTTTTAATAAAATAAAAACCATTTATAACACAGAATCAGATGAAATTCTTCCATGTATAGGTGACCTACACAGAGCAAAACCTTCCGTTTGTCACAATTTCTAATTGCCAGCAAGCACCTAAAATGTTTGAGAATCAGAATTTTTAACATTTTCATGTTTTTGCTTTTTATAAAAAAAAGATATTGAAGGACATTCCAGCAAAATATTAATCACTAAATCTAACTGAAAAGTATGTTAAAATTATTTTTAAAATACAAATCTTAATAATAAACTATTGATTTTAGCATCTTTGGAAGCTGTTTTCTCAAAACCTACATGGCTGATATCCAATGAATATTCATAACTCAATTTCCATCAAATAAACAATGTTTTAAAGAAGACTTCATACAGAATCTAAAAACACCAAAACTCTATTTTGAATTTTTTCTACAAATGGCTGGTTTTGCCAGAGCTGGTCACATATGTTTTGTTGCTGTTTTTTCCAAGGCTACACGAGGCTTAAACTTGCTATTTAAGTTATTTGCTGGTCACATGGATCCATAAATGGGAAATGACACAAAGTGCTTTGAGAAGTGCTGCATTACTAAAAAAACAAATTAAAAGCTCTGACTCTTATATTTCCAATGTTCTTAAGAAATTTTAATGGCTCTGCTTCTAGAAAGTATAAAAGCGATAATTCTAGTTAAAATTTATAAAACGATCATTATGTTTTTTATTTTATTTTTTTTATTTTATAGTTTAATTGTTATTATTGCTATTATTAGATGTATAATAATTGTAATTGTTAATAATTTTATGAATAATAAAAGAAACTTGCATATTATTTAATATTTTGTGTTTTACTTTTTTCATAGAATGCTCATGATGAGACAATATTAGCTTTGGTAAGAGCAGGAAAGTTTATCTTCTCTTCATCACAATCTGAAATCAAGGTTAGTACCAGTACAGATTGCTATAAGCAGGCTTTAGACGGTCTTAACGCTTAACCGGCTTTAATCGTGACATCACTACTGGTCTATGATTATAGACCATTGCTGTACCGCGGTTTAACTAGTAAGCCGTCTTAAATTTTAAAGCCTACTCGGAGGAGGCTTAAAACAGTCTTAAATAATTTTCATCATGGCGTTACAGGTACTATAGACCTAGGCCTGGATCATCAAAGACTATGAATCGAAAGACGAATATTCTGAAAGCTTCTCAGCATCTGTAAAAACTGGTCTACGTTTATTTATGTTCATTTTGATAAATGTGCATGTTTTGAGCAAGCGTAACAGTGCCCTCAATTACCAGGAACTGCTTATTTGCATTTCAGTACTCAAAGCGGTCTAAGCGAAGACCGTTTTATATCAATAGTCTTAGCAAAGTGACTTTAGTAAGACCGTCTAAGTGATAAAGCCGGCTTTATTTGAGGAGTTAAGACTACCAGTTAAGACTGTTTTGTAGCAATCCGCCCCAGTACATGAATTGAGAAAACTTAAAAATAAATCCATATTACCAGTAAAATGAATGACTAAATAGCTCGATTGACAGTCCTACCCTATTGTGCTTAACACAACCTTTAAGCTTGATTTCCACAATCGCTACACACTATCAGCATCAGATAGCTTTCGGTGATGCTATCTGATGGTCGCATCGGGGAGCCGCGACAGTGTAGCGATTTTAAGGAAACCAAGCTTTAATGACTTCAATTATTCTGAATATTTAATTTCATATTCCCTAGAACTGAAATTATATATAGATTTTGACCTTGCATCTTGTACTTTTTAGAGGAAGTTGATAAATAAAAGTATCATTGTAAAATTAAATTAATAAATAACATGTAAATGCATATTATTGCACACAGAATATTCCACAATAAGCAAAATATATATGAATATTAAATGTGCATATGCACTTTTCATTTCATTTTTAAATCTAGGTTTGGGATTGTGAGACATTGGATCTGATTAAAACAATAAGTGGGCTGAGAAGAGCATGGGCATTGACCCTTGACCCTAAGAAGGTAGGGAAAATAATTGATTTGTAATCAAATCTTACTATGTAGATTTTTGAATATTATGTTAACTGATGAAATATAAATTACTAGTAAATGTTTGGTTTTACAGGAAAGTCTGTACAGTGGGGCTGAGAATTGTATCAGTATATGGGATGCTACTGGTCAATTCAACCTCAAGTCAAAGGTTGAGCATGAGTACGGATTGGTGTACTGTCTCAAAGTCACTGACAAGTACCTGATAATGGGTGAGGTCTTCGTACACTTTATTAATAAATATTTTCATTTTAGATAATCTCCTTAATAAGTGGAGCACATAACTAAGATGCTTGGTGTACACCCATTCCCGAGAGCCTAGGTTTAATTTGTTAAGTAGCAATTTTAACGAAAAAAAAAACTTCACTCTGTCTAAAGTCGGACACTCAATGCCCCAAAAAGTATAAATAGAACAAGAGAGCGTACTCCCGTTTGTAAAAACGTTGCCTACATAGGATGCCCGCTGACGGTTGTATGTACACCTAAAGGAACTCTTCATGCGCGTACGCCTGCTACAAAATTGGTAAGTAGAAAAAAGTATGGTATCATGTGAAAACTAATAAACAGATGCGCTGGGTGTACATACAAACGACAGCAAGCGTTCTACATTGGCTGCGTAGGGCGTATCATTTGTTCAACGCTCTTAATGAGCGTAATTGGCTCCCTTATTCTATTTATACTCTTTTAATGCACCTACGGTAATCGGCCGAAACGCTTCAGTTGAGAAAACAGAATGACAAGCCATGCACAATACATCCTGTGATAGCTAAGCTTCTAACTTCCATTCCATACATTTCTGTTTAGTCTATAACATAAATTTTACAATTCATTTTAATAGGAACTCACAACAGGAACATTCAGATATTTGACATCAAAACTTACGAGCATGTGCGAGCTCTTCGTGGCCATATTGGAATGATTACCGCCCTCGCTCTGTCACCAAGGAATCGCTTTCTCCTGTCCAGCTCCTATGATGGGACTGTTAAGGTAATACCAACACACCATTGTTTAGACTTCTGACAATCCTTTGTTTCAATAAAATAATCCCATTGAAATACTGACACCGCATTTCCTATATTTAATTAAAAATATAACACATTTTAAGTATTCCCATTGTATTAGGATTATTGAAATATGGTGATGTCATTTGTTTACTTCCGCCCTTCTTTTTTTTGTTTTATACATATACTAGTTATATGCTAATTAAATACAAGCACATCATGTTTTCTTCTTTTATTAAAAGCAAACTTGCCGTGGGTCAAGTATACAATGACATAATGATTCTAAATATAGCTCTTAGTTTTGAGAATGCCAAGATTTTTATTATAATGTTGTTAGTTTACTCGTGATGCTAAGAGATTTTGATTTTAATGTTATCCCATTATTGATTTCAAAATAGATTTGGAATTTGGAGAATTTTTAAAAATAAATATAATTCTTAGTCTTCAGAATGCTGAGATTTTTATTTTAATTTGTTAGTGACTCATGATGCTAAATATACCTCTTAGTCTTGAAAATGCTGAGATTTTTATTTTAAGGTTATCCCATCATTTGATTTTAAAACAGATTTGGAATTTGGAGAATTTTTTGAAATTGCAAAGTCTGAGTCGGCATGAGGGTAGTATTAACGCATTGACGCTGCATAATGGCCTTCTCTTTACTGGCTCTGAGGACAAAGAGATTAAGGTATGTGTAAATTTTAATGCATTCTTTTATGCATTATGCCTCTGAGCACCTGACTATACAGTCACTAACATTCACCAGCATAATGCATGCTTTGTGGTTAATGCAGTGTAAAAAAAAAACCATTGAGAGCTTGTGGGGAGTTACTGTAATTCATTCATCCATTCACTTTTATTTCAAACATTGTCCATATAAAATACAAAAATAAATGCAAGTACATGAAGTACAGAGTATAGCAATATAGCTTTAAAAAAACATTGTAAAGTGGAAATTAACTGCTGTCTGTGTACCATATAGAACGATAAGGTGTGCAATAAGTAAAAAATTGCAGGAACAATTTTTCAGTCATCATTTTTTTTTCCTTTTCCATATTAGATTTTCAAGTTCTTCAAGATGTTAACACACAGCAGTTATGGCATTCAAATTGAGCCAGGGAAAGATACATAGAAACAGAAATAAGTCAAGGTAAAGAAAGGAAGAAAAAATAAAGACAATAAATGAAGAGATAGAACTTAAAAATGAAAAATAAGAAGATTATGTATCTTCAGCTGTATTTTACCATAAATTTAAACTACAACTATGAGTTAAGTTCAATATTATGTTACACATAATAGTAATGTCTTTTGATTTTAAATGCAAGTCTATGTTATGCAGCTTATCATTAACAACAAAGAAAATATGTTGCTTGCAGAATTTTAGGTAGGTGTTTTAATAAATTATTTAAGATATAGAATATAGAAATGTTATGCAATATGCAGTAAAGGTACTTATTTTACTTAGAGAAATATTGTTGATGTCAGGTAAATTTAATTACATATGCTCCTTCCATGTACAGATGGTTTAAATCTGTATTTTTTTAAAAATAAGTGTGCACTTAAGTATAAAACATTTTAAAGGATCTAGTAATGCTTGTGTCCTTGGGCAAGACACTTTATGTTTGCATTTCTTCACCCAGGAGCATAAATGGGTACCTGGTGATTTGGAATGATTTGGGTTTGACATTAGTAGTGCTGATTACACACATAACTAGGAATACTCCCCGGAGGCTGCACATTGCATGAATGATGCATCAAATGACAGGGAGAAAGTGTTTGGCAGCTGAAAAGAACGATACTATAAGCATACTCAGAAACATAACATTTTAAAATATTATAATATACTTAATCCAAAAATTATTTTGTTAGTACCGGTAAACATATGCATAAGTATGGAATGACTTGAAGGCTGCAGATTTTTAGAATTACTTCCTCCATCCAAGTATTACTTGGATTAAATTCATTTTTGTTTTAAAAAAACCAAATAACAATCATCAATCTTTTATCACAAAGCTGGTCTTGAATTGGAGGGCAAACACTGTATTCAATTCAGTTTGTAAACTGCTAAGGCCAGGAAAAAATTGTTTCTTTGCCCTACTCCGCCCTCCCCTCACTCACTCAAAAAATATAGGGGTAAAATAAACAAAAAAAAACCTTAACAAATTTTTTTTTATAGCTTTTATCTTTACAAATAAAGAATAACGTGAGTGAATTGATCTTTATTTTTTGCTAGATGGTCAACAAAGTTGTCTAAAATTCGTCGCTCACATCACGAACACAATCAAAGTAGATTGTGCTAGTTCGTGAAATTAAGAAAGCGTGTCAAAATATGCGCTGTTGTTGTTAAGGACTTTTTGTGTGGTAAAGAATACAAAATTGCTTGACAACCAATACGCGGTCGTTTTGACGCGCTACTGTGATTTCATGAATTAACACAATCTACTTTGATTGTGTTAGTTCGTGATGTCAGCGACGAATTGTTGTCTGATTTAAAGCTTTGTCTGCACTATCAAATTTCATCAAAAAAAGCGTCACATAAAATTTAATGGAACAGAGAGTTAAACATGTTCAACTTTTTTTATACAATTTGATATGTGATATGACGTCATTGTACCCATATATGGACACATGGTATGGCCCATATATGGGCACACCACATTTTTTTGTCACATAAAGTTTTATAGTGTAGATAAAGCTTTAAATATTGCTATTCTATGCCTAAATTCATTGCAAAATGTCAACTGTGGGTAATTTTGTAAAAATTTAAAATTAAAAAAAACTTTTTCCACCTGCACCTATTTATTTATTTTTTTGGCCGAATGAAACTATCTAGTTGTTAAGTTTGAATATGCAAATGAGATTTTAACACATGTAAATATTGTATAAGACAGTGCAAATCACTTAAGTGCCAGTTAAGGTGGGACTTTTATACCTTGTCTTGCAAACCCACCGCCCGCCAATATTGATTATTTCAAATTTAAAAAAAATTATTTTTGGCCGGTTATCACACTCGCTGCCACAAAAAAAAGTTTTTCTTTATATTTATTATGCCCACCGCTGCCTTAAAATCCCCTGCCAGTAAGCTGAATTTTATTTTTATTTTCCCTCCATATCGAAGTTTTTGGCAAAATCATTTGCTAAATAAGAAAACTAAATTATATTTTATATTTTTTTCTGCCCTCCTCTGACGATCTGTAAAAAAATAAGTTCGCGAAACAAGGTATAATGAAGTCTCGCCTAATGAATGGAAAATATAGCAATAAAGAGTTGTCTAAGACAGCCTTGATGTTTAATTAGTATTTCTTTATATTTTAATATAAGTATTTAACACTTCATTATCTTGATATTAAAGAAGTTTTAACAAATAGGCTGAATCATGTTGGCATATAGGTACTGTAGGCCTGAGGGCCCATAGCAGTTTAGATAGTACATAAGGGCCGTCCTGTGTCTCCAAACAGTCGCCCCTTTCTCAGTGGCCCCTCTACCACGCTCATGGCACACCTTGATGATTTAGTCAGCATATGCTGACGTTTCAAATTTCCTCTAAAGTACTGGCATTAGCTGAACTTTTTATTTTTTTTTTTCAATTTTGGGCGCATAAATAGCGTATTCATAACGAGTGGGATGTATACATGACGTACTAGTAACTTAACTAATCCCTATATATGGTAGCTGTAAGTTAGAAATATGTTCAGTAAGTTCTGTGGTCATCCGGAACACATCAGATACGTATACATACGTCAATATGCGTTGCAAATAAGTTTGATATAAGTTACATAGAGGTTCAAAGCATGTTACTCATAGGTTAGAAATAAGTTTTGGGTACGCTAGACAATATCTCGACGTATTTCGACTTTCGAGTAACTTACAAATATAACGTGTGTCAACTATCGCATAACTTAGTCACAACTTATGGCCTGCGTATGAGCTATATGCTGGTATACGTTGAAAAATTGCATATGCTGGCTTAATCGTCAAGGTGTGGCAGGGCCATCAGCAGTCCTATTCAATGGCCCCTCTTCCCAAATCAGTGGTAATTTTTCCCTTTCAGTCGGTGGCATATCTAGAGGGACGTAGGGCACAATCCCCAGAAAAAGTTAGCACCCCAGGCTTCCCATTGGGAATTTACTGGGCCAACAAAAAATATTAGGACATTCCTTCATATTAGATCATTCCCTCATATCAGATCATTCCAAAGCTAGTACCTCTTCACTTTTCCATTCCATCACCCTTAAATGAGCCATCTGTGTTGATACCCCTAGATATGCGACATTTTTCAGTGAACCCTCTGCCCCATTGAACAGTCCTGCCCCACTCAGGTGGTGCTGTCCAACTCAGTGCTCCCCCTGACCCACTCAATGTTCCCTCTCCTCCACTGGTATTTTAACTACCTACGTACCCTCTTCAGGCCAAGTGGCCCTTAAGGGATTTTAACAGTATTATTTTACTTGCGTGCTTTGATTTTGGTATTTGTGTAATAGGATTAACTTGCCAATTTTTGTACTGCTGTTTTGTATTCATTTTACATGTCGGTTCCTACCAATTAAGTCATGTATTGTAGGTACTAACTAGTTTTATTTCTGAAGCAGCAAATAATCTGGGATGGTCTAATGTTTTTATGGTGTAAATGAGTACCTGGTGGGGTAAATGACTTGGAATGAAACTGGTAGTCCAGAATTACACGCATGGCTAGAAATGGGGGGGGGGGGGTTGCATGTTGTGTTTAATTGATTCTGTACCCAAAGAGCTTATAGCAGTTCTTCATTAATAGAATATGTGCACTATTTATATTCTTTAAAAAAAAATTATATTAAGTTTTGTATTCATTTATATTGAACACACATTTAGTTTTTACAACCACAGATTGATTAAAATCTTTCAAAACAATTGAAAATTGTTATACTTCTATTGTGAATGTCGTTATTTGTGCATTATTATAGGGCCCCGGTATTCAACCTCCCGCCCACCAAAGACTTTGATTTGGCCCACTCAGCAGTGCTCAAAATAAATAATTTTTCTGTCCAATTTTCAGTACTGTACTTACAGAAAAAGTTTTTCTGTTATTAGAAATATGACCACCTACTCTGAGTATAGTTCATGGGGAGGGGACTCAGATGGTGGATAACAGATGAAGTGGGGAGCGCTGATGTGATGTCTAACCATTGGCAGTGTCAGCGGCGGATCCGGGGAATGAGCAGGCTCGTGGGCATGTCTGAAAGCACCATTTCTGGGCATGTAGAGGTGTCTATTTTAGAAATTAATTTGCTCACCTCAACCCTAACCATGATGGGACTGAGGTATCCTTGTGTGGGGGGGGGGGGGTGGATTCCAACTCTTTGTTGGAGAAATTATGGCACTGACATTGTTTTAAACTACTTGGTACATGAATGGAATTGTTGTGCTCTTTAAATTCCAGTCGTAGGTTAGGAGTTGATGTTGAAAAACCAAGGCTATTAATAGGTCTATTAGGAAGACTTTTAGGCCTATACTTTGCCTCCCGCCACTCCTAAATTTTTCAAAATTATAATTATACAGGTATTCATATTTTAGTCCGAGAGTGCCATTTCCGGCCATCTAGACGTGCTATAATCATAGATTTTCTTATCTCCTCCCCAACAATGGTGGGGCTGATGTGGTATTTTTACCCATATGGGCCTTCTCTATTTCGAATCCCTAGATCCACCACTGCTATAAAAGAGAACGGGTGGGGCAAACACTGAAAAAAATGGAAGTTCACAACTTATGTTGGCCTTATATAATAATGCTTGTGGTAAACCAGTACGTAGTTCTGAAAAAAAACTGATGTTGTTGGTTGAGTATATCTCGACGTTTCGATTGAGTTGCTTCAATCGTCTTCAGGTGAAAAATATGTTGGTCTTCAAAAATTGGAACTGGCCACCAGCCTAAAAATGTTGAATCACCAGGTTATAGGGCTATTTACAGTTTGTTGTCTGTATGCATGCTAAGTGAAGGGCAACCAAGACACTGATTGGTCAGAATAAAACATATTCATTCAAAACAAAAATATTCCAGAATCTTGAATAACTTATATATTTACCAATTTATTTACAATTCAAAGAGAAAAATAATTCCGTTATTAAATAAATGACAGAAAATAGAATAAACTGTGGCTCTTATATTAATTGATGGAGAGCACTGATTTATGTCCAGTATGCTGTTGTTATTTTTCTTATGTAATTTGCACAGATGCCAATGTTACCAAGTACATTAACCAATGAGACTGGAAATATTTACAAGTGTGATGAAGTGCGAGGCTATGGTTCAACAATTTCGACTTTATCATTAACGCACGGTTTGTTTGGGTTATTCTGTATTAGCCAATCAGCAAGCCAGGTCTGGAAAAAAAAAACAGTGCAAAGCAAATCACTATAATAATTATTATTAAGGTTTCAGCATACTGCATTTTGATACAATTTTTTGTGGCAATTTTATTCCCTAATATCAAATGTTCTGTGACTGTTTAATATGTGCATAATAAAGTCAAATCCCATCCATTATGAAAAATACAATCAAAATTAGTAAATTTCAAATATCACTACAGTAGTGTATAATAAAATACTTACAATTGGATCGCCAGGTTTTTGTTTACACAGATTAGTTAAGCCACGAAGCAATGTTGGATTGACCAATTTTGCTAGGTAATCCTTTGCCGCTTGGCCTGATGGGATAGGTTCTACGATGCCTGTAAATAGAAAACAAATGAAAGAGATTGTTCTGGTGTACTTTTCAATACTCAAGATTCTTTCATCTAATATTATATGGACTTCCCAACCTTCAAATTATACTATTATGTAGCAGTATCATTCATTAAGTTTTTACTTGTTTCAAAGTATGGTAAAAAATACATACTTTCTGGGAACATGAATCTGATTTCCCTTTCAGCTCCATACTGGTCGCTACCGTGGACTGCATTCCTTTGATCATCTGTACCATACAAAGCTCTGATACTAAAAGAGGGAAATACAACATCCACTGTGATCATACAATGGCATTTCCATCTTATTCGTTTATAGAAATAATAAATATATGAATACGTAAAAGCAATTGAAAAAAAGTATTGTAAATTGGTTTATTACTTGCAAGAAGATCAGGCTGACCCATATTTTCAAATGCACATTACAGATGCTCTACAAATATATAATATAGGTCTAGTTCCTGTCTACAGTCCCACATTTAGGAGTAGGCTCATTCACCTGTCAGGATGTGTTTCCCTGGCTCTGAAACAGTTGGTTGGTCCGATCAATTCTCTCCAATAGTTTACAGCATTTTCTTTGGCCAACACCATTGCAATGATTGGCCCGCTGCTCATGTATGCCACAAGGCTTGGGAAGAACATCTTTCCATAATGCTCAGCATAGAAATCACTGGTTTGTTCAGGTGTCAAATGGGCTCTCCTTTTCTGTTTAAAAATTTATTGTATTGATATTGTTATTTATAATATATATACATGGCACATAGCTTACTTACAGGCCCTACCTAAGCGAAGCTACCCTAGGCCAGTTTTTGTATGAGGTTAACTTATTCATTCACTTTAAATTACTCCACCTCCCCCACCCCCCATATAACTTGCTGCCTGCCTTTCTTAAAAATCACCTGTGAGACAGGACAGGTTTTCCAAATTTTCATTGTTTTATTTAAAAAACCTTGTAATCTAGGCCTAGGACTATATTTAAATTCTGTACAGTTTGTACCTTGTGGAAGAACACCGTCTTTTGATTTTGGTGAAAGAGTTTTAAATGCATTTTATTTTTCAATGTATATTTTTCGTGAATAATAATAAAGCTTTTGATTGATTGATAGGCCTAGGCTAGGCCTATAATGGAGCCTAGGTCTACACTCACTAACTAACCGAAAGTGGCGCTAATGCACTTTCGCACCTAACTTTTAATTATTAACTTTTTTACCTGAATTTTCTTCTCACAGTCACAACACATAATTATAAAACATTTTTACATGATTCAACCACTCATAAAGTACATTTTTTCAACAAAAAGATAACTTTATAAATATAGGTTGATACAGGGTTTCCGCGCTTGCTAGCACAACAAGCTGTACTTTTTTGCAATCAAGTAAGAAATTGCCAGAATGTCCGAGTTAATTCTTAAATTTTGAAAACATTAAAGGCCAGTCTTATAATTTTAATTGGAATTTTCCTATGAAACACCCGACAACAAAATATGGCGTCATGCAGTTACCATCTTTTTGAACTTTCTTGTCGTAATCGAGGTTAATAGAACCGACGTTTATCATTTACTTTACTAGTTGTTTTTCTGGATTTAGGCCTAGGCCCCTAGGCCCTATTTTTCGATCTGTGTACGCATTTGGATCATTACTAATTTTTCTAAGTAATTATTGTACGTGTGAATTTCATGTGAACACACATATAGTCGAACAACAGCACCATACAATATAAAGAATGACATACAATACGGCAAATAGATAAGTTTTCATAAATGTTAATCAGAAAACTCCACACTGCAAACTCACAC